CCTCTTACCAAACTAATCTTCCTGATGTAATCTTGATAGGGAAGGCTATGACTGTGGGGTCTTTTGAAGTGGTGATGATGGCTACAGAGACACATAGGGAGGGCTGGACCAAGCCTTTTCTTAGTGCACTGATGTGTTCAGACAGTTTCAGTCTGCTCCTGTGTGATACGAGGAACTCCACCACATCCTTCCAAAGGATGGGATCCCACACGCTGAGCATAGAAACATGCACAAAGGTGCAGGAAGGCACATATGCATAGAGTGAAGTTCTCCTCTTGGACAGGTATGAACACCCCCTTGACACTGCAGGTTCTTCCTGGTGTTTGCAGAGCAGCAGAAGGTCACACCATGATGCCAAGTACCCTAGAGCACCACAAACAGTGAGATGGGGAATGAAAAGTAGGTACAGCAGGAGGCTGTACCGTGTAGGTGTCTGCAGACATTACTAGGCTCAGCAGCAGCTGCAGAAGGCAGGCTCTTGACAGTGTTGGCTGGCAGGGAGGGAACACTTGGACTTTAGGATCCCAATGGGCCTGGAGTTTATTTCTTGGCTGTGTCAGCTGCTTCACATCAAGTACTACTCGCTGCCCTTGGTTAGAGGTGGCTTTGATGGACACCTGAAAACCTCTGGTCCAAACTGCCTCTCTCTTAATGCTGAGCTTTTCCACTAATAGGGACAGCACAGGAAAATCTTTGCTTTCTCTGAAACTAAGGACCATAGGAAAACCCTATGAAAATAATGAGAGAAAAATTCCACTTTTAAAATACAAAGGCAAATAATGTAGGCTTTCAATACTTCTGTCTTCTTCTAAATCATTATTATAATGCAGATGCAGAGTAACAGGTCTGATGACTCATGATGACAGAATGATCAGATGAGCTCCTATAGACCTGTTGGAATTGTTTGAAAAGTTGCTATGCTTTCATGTTCCAAAGTGGTAAATATGATACTTCTGGTGTTTTGCAGTGGAAAAAATATATGGATTGTGCAGACTCGTCTTTGGCGATGGTAAAAGAATGAAGTATATTTGGGGTGAAGGGACAGAAGTCTCTACCTTTGGCAGTGGTAGGGGTATTTAAAATGCTTTATTAGGACTGAATTTTAGAGGATATTGCTTCCTCTTTAGGTATTTATACAAGAAAATTAGCTTGCAGATACTCTGCTCATCAATAGAATAACCTTTGAAAGATCCCCATAATACTGGATGATCCTTTGTTTTACATAGGAACATTTTTCTCTGTTTTAAGTAATGGACTAATGCTACCCTCCTGCACAGTTTACTGGAAGAGTGGACTACTCCATTCAGTATCAATGTATAAGTAAATGGTCCACTGGAATAAAGGCTGCACCATTTTTAAAAGTGTTTTCAAATTCTGTTCATAAGAATGATATATGGAATGTAGAGTGTGTTCCAGTGAGGAAGGATATTGTGTTTTGGTCAGAAAAATGTATCCTATATGTATATATATTTTCTTAGCTCTCTGCGGCAAGCCAAACTCCCCAGACACCTGAGTACTCCAACACTGTATGAGTTAACACTCAACTACTGCCACAGAAGAATGTGCCAGAGAGATTTAATCACTGGACAGAGGGAAAAAAAATCTGTCATGACCTACTGACCAGACATTTCTTGGCAATTGCTAATCAACTGTGTTAGCATTTTATTGTCTCTCCTGCCATTATCTTCCAGGAAAGGTCTGAGCAAGAGGTCAGCATAGCTTAAGTAGGTATGGGTTCATTTGTTATCTTTCATGCAGTATGCTGCAGTCAACAGTCTGCTCTCCTCTGAGCATGAAAGACTTCAACTTACTTTGACTTGTTTATTTACTGCAGAATTTGGCTATCAAACCCAAAGATAAGAATAGTTCCTGGTGGGAACATTTCTCAGAATAATTTTTAGTGCTTTCTATGAGCATTAATTTTTAAAAGATCTGTATTTGGTAAACTGTGAACTACTTCTTTATTGACAGTCTACAGAAGAAACACATTAGAAAAGTGACCTGGATCTTAGTTCAGATTACCATGCATTTAAGACTGTCTCTGTTCAGGTAAGTACTGTATTCTATGCTTACCTTTCAACAGGCAATTAGATTTGCATTCCTTTCCTGAAAAAGTCTGTTTCTGGGGTTGGAGACCCAGGGAAAAAAACATTCCTGCCTAGAAAAAAGATGAGGGAAAAAGGGGGAAATGATAGGAAAAAATCAGCTAGCCGATGTCTCCTGTCACGCAAACTGATTGTACAGAGAGGAGGCAGCAGTAATGTGTTTTTCCAGCTTCAAGTGACTGCACCTGAAATTCTGCATTTTTGAAGGAATTTCATTTGAAAGACAGTGCTATCTTTGATCAAAAATTGTTCATTATTCAGCTTTGTTTGCCCATGCTGCATTAACAAAGCACTGCTGAATAGGAAAACCAGAAAGCTGATTATTTCCTTTCTGGGAATGGAAGCGTCTAGCCTAAGGCATGGGGGAATGTCTCTCCCCTTCTCTCTTGCTGTAATACTGGAAACATCTGAAATTTGTTCAAGCCTCTATGGGAAGCCAACACAGAGTTCTCCTGTATCTTTGTCTCCAGCATGGAACCGCAGCTGGCAAACAAATGGGTGCCACCACAGCTTTTGTATGGTTGCCATTAGGCAGCCCAGGACTCTCCTCGTCCCTGGACAGGCAGGATAACACAAGAGATGAGAAACATTCACCCCCTCTCTCAAAGCCAATAGTAGCAACGAGGATCCACTTCTACTCAGGAAAAAATGGAGTTGCGGCGCGTGGCCTGCCTCTTTTGAGGCATCCTAGTTTATAGCAAAAAACTGAGTTTTCTTACCCACTCAAATGGGCTAGAGTGGCAATGGAGTTACAAACATTAGACCTCACTGGGATCTCCTTGCTGTGCCATTTGGTCTTCTCTTCCTTCCACACACTGCACCCATTCCCAAGCAGTGTGTTAAACTAAGGATAATTAATCTGTGCTAGAGTAGTTACTTTGGATGCTCACTCTGTGAAGACAAACCTCATTCTTGTAATGTCTACACTGACACTTAGGTTTAACATAGAGGTTATTCACTGCCAGCCAGAGCTGTATGAATGTTTTTCCTTCTCTTCTGTGCAGTCTGCACCAAAACCATCTGCTCTGTACCATTTGATAGTGGCTTAAGGTCTGCACTGAAGCTTGAATGTTTCTAGGAACTGACTTATGAACCACTTACCTCTTGTGTGGGGCCACAGGGAGAGGTAGAAAAGAGCTGGAGTCATCAGAACAGAGAATTTGGGGGTTACAACAGGTGGAGTTCCAGGGCAGAGAAGCTCAGGGGCTCTGGAGAGCAGAGCAGCTCAGGCAGTGACCCCGTGGAGCAAATACCAGTCTGCTGCACTGTAGGAGGGACTCTGGACTTTTCAGTGAGGCTGGGCAGAGCAGGACTGGTCAGGTGCAAAGACAGACCATGCCAGAATTGATTTTTCCTTTACCAGAATGTGCTTCTGTCATGCAGTACTTTTTCCATCCAGCCTCAGGGACTAGGTTACTTGTCAGGCCCAAGCACACGAGCTTTTTACTCTCATGGATTTCAGCAAGAAGCTAGAGCTTTACATCACTTGTTGAATTTGAGCTTTATATCCTGGCATTTGGACTAGACGTTTAAAAATAAAATATGCTTTCACTTGTGTGCAAAAGTTCCCTCTTCCCTATGTTGCGTGAGGGCAGCTGTTGTGTTTTGCTTTTTTCTTTCTGGGACTGTCTGTGACAGCCACCAGCCATCCTTCTATTTACAGTCATTACCACAAGGAAATTGGAAACTGCAGCTACTGGGACATGATTATCTTCTCTTTTATGTCAGGTTTGTCTTTTACTGTGACACAGCAAAAGAAATGTTTGTACAGCTAATAAAACATTTATCTGGAGATAAACAGAAATGCCATGTCCTGATTGAATGAGCTGCTGCTGTAGAGCTAATGTAGGACAGGTTTACTAGCAATGGTGGTACACAAGGGGTGACAAAAGGGGACCATCCTCCCCCCTCCTCCCCGCCCCGCCCCCGCCCAGTAACACCCACAGCCTCCACAGTAATAGCAGCAAGATTTAGATAAGAATCCTGAAGCAAGCAGAGGTTGGCATCTTTGTCGGCCTCGAGGAAAAGACAGTCTTGTGAAATGTTTAGTCAAAGGCTTATAGCACTTGCCAAGGCTCTTGACTGAACAGCAGTCTAGTTAGATTTCCTTCTTCAGCTTGGTGATCAAAGTGATGAAATGAATGCCTAATAACTCAGGACCATGCAATCCTTGTTCTATGAAAATAACAATACACAATTGCATTTTTGTCACTGAGGAATATGAAGAATTAAATGAAAGAGATATAAATCTGTCAGTGCAATGAACAGTTTTGAACAGTGTGTGCTATAGCCCTGTCTGTCCTACAGGGATTAGTGTTTCATTGTGCTTTTTTAGCTTGATGAATTCACAAACCCCAGAAACTTACAATGTAGAAAATATGTGAAAAACAAAGAGCCAAAACTCCTCATTTGCTAAAACTGCCTTTTATTTTGAGTTTATTATTTTAATCTTAAAAAGATATTTTTGATGGCACACAGCCTCAGAATCAGCACCTTTGCAGTTACAAACTACAGAGAATCCCTGTCAAGTTACGTTGCCTTAATTCCGACTTTTAAATCACGTGGAAAATCTTACTCTTTGTTCCTGTTTTCTATGAAAGGCTTAACAGCACATTGCTGCAACAAGATTGCATGTTAAGAGGATTGCATTCACAAAATAGATTTACAGCACATTAAATATTGATTTAGTGATTTCATCATAAATGAAAACTAATGAAAACGCCTATATAAATACACAGTGCAGCTTTTGTGATGTGCTACCCTTTCTTGTTTTTTGTTCATTTACACTCCAGTTCACAAGAACATCATTAGTGCAAATTAATGCTATTTTACTGTACAGTTATCTTGTAACAAGCTCTTAGATATATTTCAAGTGATTGAGGCCAGTGTAATGAGTTAATTTTCAGCATCTGGTTTGGTGAGAGATTTCTCAAGCTCTTCTGCAGGGTTAGATTTCTTCTGGCTTGGGATAGCAGGTAGGACACGGCTTGGTTTCAGAGGCTCTCCTGATAGACCAGGCAAGAGAGAATAGAGCACATGACTCTGAGAATGTCCCTTTTTCTGGGATCTGGAGGCTGGGGCTGGTGGAAGAATAACTGCACCAGTCCTTAGGGAATTTAAAGGCAGGGACTTAAACTTCTTGGCACCCTGAGATGGTAGCTGAACTAGAGGAAAAAGAAAAAGAGAGAAAGACTGCACAGAAAGTGAAAAGCATGACATTTTTACAAATGAGTTTGCTACTTTCTTTGAACTGTTGTTTGTTTGTCTTGTGTTGTGTGTCCTCAAAGCTGCATTTGAAAAATGTGATCAAAATATGAGTAAAAAATTGCTAACGCCTGGCAGGACTGATCTTCAACTGAAGAAAACAACTCCAGTGTTAAGCAATTTACTTTGTGTTTGGTGATCAATAAGACTTGATAAGTTCAAAGGTTTACCTTTGATAAGTAGAGGATCTATAGTTTGTCTGAAGGAGACTTGGTCTGGTTGGAGAGATTTCCACAGGACATTTTTTTCATCAAAAACCACAAGCTGATTGAAACAGAAATGTTTCATGGGAATATATTATTTTTAACAAAACCTTTGTGGGAGGATGCTCTATTACCCAGGGTAAATTCTGATTGAAATCTTAGGAAGATGAAATGGAAGAACATGGGCCACTGTGTCTGGGTTGCTCTAGGCACAGTCAGTCATGAAGGTAGGTCCACACGTGCTTTGCAAGTCACAGGCCACAAAAGTAACCCATTACCATGTAGCACACTAAGACCCACACTGAAGCACAAGAGCCACGGCTCTTGTATGTCTCAGTGTGTCAGCAGTCTTGTAAGAAACTGTAGATTTAGATCATCCTTAATCTCCACCTCACACTCAGCAGTGTAATATTGTTTGTGCTTTAAAGTTAATATAGTTCTGTATCTTCTCTAAATTGGAATCCTCAAGCTCCTTCATTGAGGCAACTCACTAACTAATTTCCTAATTTTTTAAAAGGAGAATTCAAAACCTTAATTGTAGACCTATTTTTCTCTGCCTTGGCATTTATTGTGAATTATATTAGCTTCTTTCATGTAATGTTCCAATTTATTCACAAGCTCTTTGTATACAAACACTTCAGGTTTTTCAGTTTAACCATATGAAAAGTTACCTACTGGAGTGAACACCATCTCTTTTTTGGCTACAGAATCTTTCTTGCAATTTTTCACATTAATTTTTCCTTGGTTGCATTCTCATTCCATCTGTGATTTCCTTCCATCTGCATCTGTTGTGATGAATATATGAGAAGCTATTAACGTTTTCCTCTGACATGTTCTAGTTTGGGTTTCATCTTACTAATCATGGCAGCCCCCAGAAGGTTATTTGGATTCTCTGTCTATTTTGCTGTCTTCGTCCTTTGAAACTAACCACAAATGCTTCCTAGAGGTCAGGAATTAAAAACTATTCTCTGAGCCAACCACTTGTCCTCAGATTGGTATCATGCTTGTGTCCTGGTTCTTTACATGCAGGAAGAATCCCACCATAAAGCACTCTGCTCAAAAGGTGGCCATCTCAGCCTGTCATTATCATTCCATTTCCCAGTCAATTCCAGTGAAAACCCGAGTGTTCATGTTTGCATTTTTCCTGGCAGCCCCCTTTGATTATCCCCTTTCCATAATCTCTGACAGAAATTTTCCTGGTGCAGGTTCAGGGAAATTCTACAGAAATGAGGAATGGAGAAGAGTATTTTCTCTTAACCCAATGAAAATCTTGTGTAATTCCAGAGAAACATCTGAAGTTAATCTAGATTTGGACCATTTTAACAGAGGATAAACTGATAAATGAACAAATTTTCATTAGAAATAACAGACCACATAATCAACTGGTATGAACTGGGTAACTACTGCAGTCAATGCACCTGTGATAAACTGGACCTTACAAGTCAGTTTTGATCTTAAAAAAAAAAACCAAACTAAACATTCAGCACACTTGAGGAACTTATAGGTAGAATAGTGGATAGAGTGTCTTGAGGGCTGTAGAATAAAAAGACAAGAAAAGAGGACTTAAGGAATTTCAAGTCAGTTAACCTAACCTAAAAAATCCTAAATACCTAAAATCCTGCCCACAGTTGGTAGGGGTTTATCAGAAGTGAATCTTTGAACCTATGAAGTTTGCCTGCTCATCAAGCAACACCAAAAAGAATAACTGGGACGCTGGCAGAGTGGATGCGGGAGAAGTGAGAAATTATGTAGTTTTAATAAGGAAGAATTATTAACTTTGTCACAAATTTTTGTAAAAATAAGGTAGATCCATTACTATAATGTGGACACACACCTGATGAAAAAAAGGCACTCAAGGTGTAATTTATCAGAGAACAGGTTTACAGTGCAAAATGACCTTGGTAAATTGGAGAAACAGTAAGAAATTCAGATAACGAAACTCAGCAAAGGCAAATGCAAACCACTACACTTAGGGAAAACAAACAAACAAACAAAGAAATCCCAAAACACCAAAAGTCCAAATATAAGATGGGGAATAACTGGCTAGGGGAGTAAGAGTCCTGCAGGTAACTGGGGACAAAGACTGTGCCCGAGTCAGAAATACATTGAAGAAGTTCAAGCAGAAACCCTGCAGTTCCTGTGCCTTGGCAAAGCAGAAGCACACCAGCCTTGTCACGCAAGCCCTTCTGTGTCTGTAGATTTACATAGTATATAATTAATAAGTCAGAAATTTGCCCTGTTGAAAACAAATGTTACCTCTCTAATGTCTGCAGTGGGCATTGAAAGAGCTTTGCATCTATGTATTTTTTTACTATATACATTGTGCAAAAGAGCTGAAGTTCTCCTTGCCATATTCCCCTGTACCATATGCCATATACTCATTTCATCATTCAGTATTTATTTATCAGGAGCAGTAATTCTCTAAGACTCACCAGGTATCTATTTGGGGCAAAGCAGAATCTTTATAGAGAGGATTTTAAAAATTGGTAGATTTTTTTTTCTTTTCATGCTAATTTCAGTACAATTCAAGTTATGATGGCCTGAGCAGGCAGTGTTTCCTAGAGCAGCCTGGCCTTTGGCAATGTGGTGTAATTCACGGGTCATATTCAAGGTTCATTCATGTTCAGAAGTTCAAGAAATCACTTAGTTCTCCTTTCCATGAAGAAAAATAATGCCATTAGTACTTTGCTTTAGTTTGTATTGAATTTGTGTGAATCAGGCAGAGCTAAATACAATAAATGAGCCCATTTGTTTTCTGGCACATGGTAGGATGCTTTGAGTTCATTGAAATCTTGGTGTGTAAACCGAATGCATATTCAGAGGCTCACTTGTTTCCTGCTTTGGGCCATAGGCATATTTTCATGCATTCAAAGTTTACACCTGTGTAAAATATCTCCAGAACACTTTACATACTAAATAAGCCCTTAATGATGGGTTTAAGTAGGGCAAAAGCAATGTAGTTTAACTTCACTCCCATGACTGGGTAGCCATCACAGACCCATGCTCATTCAAAGAAGTAAAAAACAGCATCCAAACATCAATGCTTTCCACCTAGTACTACATACTGTACTCAGTTTAGGATATTCGATAAGGATTTCAGGACTGGTACATGGATGGCTTTGAAATAATACATATAATGACTGGTATTAGTATGTGTTTTGAAACACACGAGCCTGAACCCACCACTGGGGTCTATGAGAGACAGAACCCTTAAGGCTGGTTGCCATACATCCAGAAGCTATATACAGTAAAAGCACCAGTAATTATTCACATTCAGAGGGCAGTCAGCTACCAAAGACCTAGTGATACAATAAGAGCTACCAATTCCGGGAGCCTTTTCCACTCAGTAGTGGCTCTTGAGTGGCTGCTATTACAAACTGCAGAGGCAAGAATAAGGCTGTCAGGGAGGCATTGTACAAGGAGTACGTACTCCAGCAGAAGGAATGGCTTTTAGACTCTCTTCCTTTTGCAAGCAGTGGACCATGGTGGCCCTCTGCAGAGAGGAGGGTGTTTTGTGGAATCCTTTGCTGTTAACCTGGGAAAGAAGAAACTTCAAATCATGGTGACTAACAGCAAAAACAACCACCTATCCCCAGAAAATACTGTTAAATGACCTGCAGAAATAGATCTTTTTTGTTGTTGTTCCACAAGTAATAACCTCACTATGGCTTCAGACTTCCTAAGCCACATGAAGAAATGACAGCAGCAGAGAGTTCTCTAGAAGTCCCATATTTGTTTGGAAAATTGTTCTGGCATTGTGTGAGCGGTGTGTGATAGTTGTAAGCCTGTTTTCCAGGGGTCACATGATGAAATAGAAAGGGTGTGCTGGGGGTGAAGCAGCAGCATGCAGAATAACAGAGATGCCAGGCTGTGCTGAGGCTACTCAAGAAGCCATGTGAGGGACCTCTTTGGCCCTGAGAACATCTGAAGGGTGGGAGTTTATAAACTATGGTTTAAAGTCACTCAAGTACTCTTTTCCTAGGGTACTGTTTCATGCCTATTATCCTCTTTCTAACTTGTATTTTTAGATGTTTTTGCTTAGAGATTAAAGCATCTCTTCCTTTTTTCATTGCCCTTCCTTTTTTGGGAGATGTTTCTTCTTTCTGTTAATCTCTGAGTAGTTTCAGTTCTCTTTCTAATTTATGCTTATGTTATTGTTCTAGCTCCCTGGTTGCTTTTTTTTTTTTTTCCCCCCACTGGCTTTGTTGCATGTTTTTAACACACAACTTGTCTGATGAAAATATTAGAGAAACACAAATGTTTATATTCAGATTTCGTTGCTGGAGCCATTTGCCTGGATAAAGGCTGTGTCCAGAAGAGTAATATTTTTAGGGCTGGATGGAGGATGAATGAAATCTTGGCTCTCAAACAGTTATTTGGAAGGCTCCAGGATCACATGTGTCATTTGTGTTAACAAAGAAGAAATGTAAGCTATTTGGCAAATAACTTTGCTTTTCTGTTATTGCCTTGAACTGATGTTCAAGAAGTAATGGCACCTGATAAATGTGCTGTGTTAGTTAATTAAACCGTGATTAACTGTGCTAATTTTATCTTATTTGTAAAACACAGTTTCTGGCATGAGACTAGAACTAAAATCCTGGCTGTGTATATGAATTACTGCAAGAACACCAGTGATTATAAGATAATTTTTTTTAGAATTTTGCTTACAACTGTCTTTTAACTAGAAGACATAGAGAACGTCAGTAGAAAGCTTAAAAATGGAAGACTTGGAGCTGGGGTTTTGAAAGCAGTTAGATTATTTTCTCTCCTCTGAGCAGACAGAGAATACCACCTCAGTATTCCACATAGCTCCACTTTTCTTCTTTGTCTCTTATTTACTGTGCAGCAGCAGTGCAGGATTCTGTATTTCCCCTACCCAATCTGATGTTCCTTATAAAGCTACCTCTGCTGTTTCGTTTTTAGTAATATTGTTATAGCTGCAGAATTGCTTCTGAAACTCAGATCATAAGAGGCAATGAATCTTAAATTTAGCTCTGAAATGTGAATGCTTTAGGACCTGGCTGATCTGCAGGATGACAACTAGTAAACTCCAAATCCTCATCCAAAATACATTAGGGAATTTGCGCTTAGTGGAGCACAAGAATGTGAGGGCAGGACACTGCTGGGAGTAGGGCTAGTGTTTGTATGTGAAGAACACCCCAGTTGCTGGCTGGATCCAGCCTGGGACACTCACTAAGTCTTGATGCTCTGCCGGGGCTGTGGGAGCGGGGTGAGGCTTTCCCTGCTCTTTGGGACCTTGCTTCTTACTGCCTTGGGAATGAGGAGCTGTCTGAAAGTGCAGAGGAAAAAAAGTCTGCTGCTCTCTCAATCCCTTTATTTTAGCTCCTGTGTTATAGAAGCTACCCAAACCAGTTGCTGTTAGAATGAGAGAAATGAATGATTCCCATCCTCATGTAAAAGCTAGTCTGTCTGCTGTGCTTAAGACAGAGAGAGATAGAATATCTTCTCACCTATGTAACATTCCAAAAATGACAAAGTTTTTGTAAACCTGATGATCTTGTTCTAATCATCTTCCCTCTAATTTTTGCTAGCAAAATGACACAAAAATCACTGTCATGATATTTTTCATGTTGGCTGCACAAGAGTCATTCCTTCCTGGCTTTCATGTCACATATCCAACCTTTCTCTGCCATGCAGTCGTTAGGGTGTTGTCATCCATCTCTTTACATCCTGTAAGTCACCGTGTTACATCATGTCCTGCCCCCTGTGAAAAGCTACCAGAGTCATACAGGCATATGCAATTGGGAGTGAAACCAAGAGTGAGAAATCCCGTGTCTGTGAGAATTCCAGTCACCTCTGCTCTGGAAAACAAATGTAGAGCCAAAATCTCCTCTGTATTGACATACATTGCTTCTACTAGGCCAACTCTATGAAACTCATTGGAGAAAAGGCTTGTGATCAGCAGCACAAAGTCCAGCTGGAGGTAGGCCAGTCACTAGTGGAATACCCTGGGAGTTGATACTGGGGCTAATACTATTTAATGTCTTCATTAGTGACTTGGACGATGGGGCAGACTGCACCTTCTGCAAGTTTGCAAAAGATATGAAACTGGGAGGAGTGGATGATACAGCACATGGGTGTGCTGCTGTTCAGAGAGACCTTGACAGGCTGTAGAAATGGACGGACAAAACTCTTACAAAGGGAAATGTAAAGTCCTGCACCTGGAGGAATGAACCCTGCACCAATACATGATGAGGATCAAACAGCTGAAAAGGAGCTTGTCAGAAAGGGTCCTGGGGGCCCTGATAGACAACAAGTTGAACAGGAGCCAGCAATGTGCCCTTGCGGCAAAGACAGCCAACAGCATTCGGGGATGCATGAGGAAAAGCCTTGCCAGCAGATTGTGGGAGGTGGTCCTTCCCCTCTACTCAGCACTGGTGAGACACATCTGGAGTGCTGTGTCCAGTTCTGGGGCCCCCAGTACAAGAGAGACATGGACATACTGGAGCAAGTCCAACGAAAGGCGATGATTAAGGGACTGGAGTGTCCAGCCTCAAAGGGGAGGCTGAATGACCTGCGACTGTTCAGCCTTGAGAAGAGAAGGCAGCTCAGGGGATCTTGTCAATATGTGTAAATGCCTGACTGGGGGGAGTAATGAAGAGGGAACCAGACTCTTCTCAGTGGTGTCCTGTGAAGGGAAAAGAGTCAAAGAGCACAAATAAGTAAGAAGCTTTTTTACTCTGAGGGTGGTCAAACACTGGAACAGGATGCCCAGAGAAGTTGTGTAGCCCCCATCCTTAGAGGTATTTAAAACCTAACTGGATGTGGTCCTGAGCAACCTGCTGTAGGTGACCTCTCTATGGGCGGAGGGGTTGGACTAGACAATTTCCAAAGGTGCCTTCCAACCTCAGCCATTCTACGATGCTGTGGAAGAGGAACACGAAACCTCTCTCAAGCCCTCAGATGCCAGTGACAGAGGCACACAGTATGATACTGTAAAACTGACACTTGCCTGTACTTACTTTTGTGAGCACAGTGGTTGGGTATGGGAGCTAGGCTGTTCCGTACAGGAGCAAGATTTTTTACTTTGGTTTGGTCTGCGGACATCTGTTGAAAATTTTTACCTGTGAAAGAAAAAGATAATCTGTTACTGTATGAAAATAATTGTAAATAATACAGTGTGCTGTAGATCTCTGGCTTCTAGAAAAAAAGAAAACTTACTTAGGAATTCTCAGAAATATGTAATAACAAGGAACCAATGACTGAAAAAAGCTGTTGCTTTGTTCTCTTTACATTCGTTAAAAAGAGTGACTGATTTAATATAACCTTCACGTGTACCTTTATCACTTCCTTGCATATAATATAGTAATTGGTCTTAAAACAGGCACAGTCCAGTAGCTAGGTCCATGTAAGAATATTTGGACACTAAATTTGTAGAACTATTCAACTAGATGGATTTGATTTCAGAATTGAAGCTTGGAAACTTTTCTAATAGGGTCTCAGCCTTTCTAAGAACTAGAATACAAATGGAATTCAACTGCTTGTTGGAAAATGAGACTGGTGGAAGTCTCTCAGCAGTAAAGATGAGCTTTGAGAGGGTTTTGCTGCAGATGAAAACATAGCAGAACTGATATAAACTGATACTGATTCTTACTGGCCATGTTTATGGCAATTTCATTTTTACCAAGAAGAACAGATACTGGAAAATGAAAGGTTAATTAGCTAACTGTGGCATTTCACTGGCTAAGATTAAAGTTAACTGTTGTCTAGTACTATTAAAAAAGACATTATTTTAGATGATGTAATGCATTTCACTACATAAATGACACATCAGATATTATTAAAAAAGTAGAAACTCAAGCACCAAATCAACATTTTCTCCAGATCCTTTTCCTGAATTGATCTTATTCTGTGATGTTTGAGTCCCTCAAATTTTTCTTTTTTGTTATCCCCAGATCTGAGATGAGCCTTGTAAGGAGTCTTGAGTTGTCTTGCCAAACAGCTGCTCATCCCGCATGGCATTGCAACATAGCTCACTGCAGAGCAAGCATATGCTCTGTTGGCACGCAGAGATGAGGGGAGACACAGGCTGGATGTAGTAGCACATCTTAAGCAATAGGAAGAAATGGAATTATATAAGTTGCCTTTGTGGCTTTGTAGTTGGTACTTGAAAATACCTATGTATTGCTGGGCTGTGCAAGATAAAGCTATAGGAAAATAGTTGTAGAACAGTTTCCTAGAGGTGCACAGAAGTAGTTGTCAAGACTGCTGTAACTATGTTACTGACTAAATGGATTCTGTATGAAAGGAGCTAAAGTGGTGTTTATCAGACAAATCCCCATGTTATAGTGAAGCCTTCAGCTCAGCATGGAGCAAGCTTCTGGTCTAAAGACCACGGCAGTTGATAGACATTGGATCAATCTACTGGATCCCATGGGTAAAGCTGATGCATATTGGGGTAAAGCATGAAGAATCTCTTATGGATGAGCTGTGTCTAATAGAAACAGACTTTGGTTTCCTTTTCCCATGTTTTAGTCTTTGTTTAGTCTTTAGAATACTTCTCTAGGGTGATCAAACAGTGGATGTAAAAGTTGGTAAATTTCTTCTACAGACATCGCATCCACTGTGCACAAAGAAATAAATATATCAGTTCCAAAATAGCAGAGAATCAAGCCTGCTGCTCCTATTAATGCAGTTTGAGTTATATTGGTTTCAGTGATGCTTATGCTGAGAACTAATGGCTTATTATGTATGTACCATTATGGCTTTGATACTGGGAGGTTTTTTTTTCTATCAAGAGATGTTTATTTCATAAATGGGGATATCTGGCAGCAAAACAACAGTACAAAGCATAATCATGTTTGCAAGACTGATATGAATACTTGGAAAAGAATCCTTGTTGTCTGAAAGTTCTGGCATCAAGTGGAAGTATTCTTCTGCTCTTCCTTTCTATCTGCTCCACAAAACATCAGAGAAAAAAGTTTTTCTTTCTTTAAGACATGATCTTTGTCATCCCCAAGAGCATATTTATGATGGCATTTATTTTTGAATGAAATGGAAAGGAAGCAATTTTGTTATTATAAAATCCATTTTATTTCCTGACTTTTTTTACAGGTTGTTCTTTGATTTTCCTTTGCGTTTAGGTAGGTGAACCACATTGTGGTGTGTTTTGCGGAAAAGTTGTAAGTATTATGATGAATGACCCACATCAGTCCTTCAGTTTGAGAAAGAAACAGCCACACTGATCAGCTTTGCTCTAGTCTTTCCTGGCCAAGAAGTGCTTCCTGTTGGACTATACCATACTGCTTATGCCAAGATAAGCTTAATAATAGCCTTTTTTTTACATTACCTGTTCAAGCAAATAGAAGGTACTGGGCTGCTGTAATGAAACCTGTAATAAACTATCACCTCAGACCTGGAAGGTTAGTTATTTAAAAGATGAGTGGGTGGTAGAAGGAGTCCTGGTTAGAGGGTGCTAAGAACTGCCTTACATTTGAGACAGGCTTCCTTTTACTCCTGTCACTTGGAATTTCTCTACTTACACCATTTTCCCTGTGGAAAGTAAATGGCAGTACATTTTGCAAAAAGAGATGATTGCAAAGCTCATAAATACAAGATGCTTCAGATTGTGGATGCCAGCTCAGCACTGTGGCTGACAAGCACTCTTGCAATATTGACTGTAGTTTGTGGTATAGTCTATCTTTGCTCTCACCAGCGGAGGGCAAGACAAAGCAGTTATTCTGAGAGAAACCAGTGGCATGATAGTAAGGTAAGTCTCATTGCTACCCACAGCAGACTCTCCCCTTTGTGTAAGTGCTAAGGCTCAGCTAGTAAATTGACTCATCATTCATTTCCAGGAGCACAGAAAACAGAACAAAAAACCTCCAAAAATTGCCATCGATGTGCCAGCTGCCTTAGTAGCAGTAAGCACAAAAATTAGCTCTGACTTTAATAAAAAGCATGGTCATGCAAGACAATCAACACTGTGTGTCAGCTGAGAAAATAATTTTTAAATTGAGTTCCCCTAGATTATTGATACCCATAATCCTGCCCTGGATATTCAGTGATTAGGAAATAACATGTAGCCTCCACAGTCATGACTTAAGAAATGGCGTATTAACACTTCAGTGTCCTTCAAAGACCAGATGTTGTTTTTTCCCTCAGCTAGGCCTCCTGCAGAAAAAAAACAATGAGGAAATATTTTTCCTCAGAGAGAGCTGCCTGCACAGTGCTGCTGGCTGGGCTGGAGCCAGGCTTACTTTGCTTCTGATCCCTCTAAGTCCTGCAGGCAGAGTGAACTGGAGACCTGGAAGCCCTGGAGCTCATACAGTAAGTGCAGTGCTAATTCACAGCAAGTCAGGTGGCTTTAATTACGGGGGTAGACAGATTTAAACCACACACATAGGCGTGAAGAGGGATAAGCAGATCTTTTTATCATGAAGAAATGTTAGACAGTATCTGGGTTGGGCAATGTATTCCTGTCAGACACTGTCTGCCTCCTTACAAGCTTTTAATTCACATGCTTCAGTGGAAGTCCCTTTTGCCAGCTACAGGAATCTTTTTATTGTTGGAAAGTTTTGGTAAAGGGAGCTGGTACACACAGAATTGGGCTTAAAGCAGACTCAGGCTTTTTTTTCTCTCAGGGAGATGATAAACTGTCGTAGATCAAATGACTTACTCTTCCTTTGGACATGCAAAGACAGCTCCCATTGTAACAATTAGGAGATGTCCCATAATTGATGCGATTTTGCCCTAATTCATGCATGTAGACTGCTTGTCCTATACTGAGTCCCTGTGCAGATCATGGAGCACTGAGTGGATGCACAGGGTCCATCTTGATTCAGCTGGTTGCAGCTTTTTGTCATAGGATGTTCATAGAAAATCACCTGTCCTTCTGTCCAGAGCAAACAAGGATTTAACCGTACAGTATTCTACAGTCTTAAGAAAAATCTGTAATCACATTTTAAATAACATGGTAGTTATTTCCACATCAAATGTATTCATAGTCTAGCTAATTCCACCAAGAAATCTTTCCCCATGGTTGTCCTCAGGTTTGGTTTATCCAGTTTGAGTTCATTCCTCCTACTACTGTCAACATGAATGATCTCAAATATCTCAGCCTCACTGTACCCTATTATATTTAGGTTGTAAAGAAGCCCTACAGGTTTTCTTGTCTTCCACACGGGAACTCAACCTTGCAGAGTTCAGTGTAGAAAGAGTCGTGCTGGATCAATCCTTGCTAGCCATGTGGAGTTTGGGGTTTGCATGGTTCACTGAATAGCTGAAGAGTGCACAGTAAAAAAGTAGTGACACCTACAGACCAGGTCTATCAGCTTTCAGAAATGTGGCCTGATGTTCAGGAAGTGGAACCTTTTGAATAGCTCCTTTTTACCCTGAAAAACTATTTCCAGCCTTTATTTGCACAACGTAGAATGACCTGTCATTCTGAAATTGCCATCTCTACTCTCATTATTAGAGATGTGAACAAAGATTTGCTATTTTATAGATCCCTTTGCTTAGGAGTCAGTACACGATAGTGTAAGCTCAGATAGTGACCTGACCTATCTGAGGGTTCTTCTCAGGCAGGGTTTGTTCACTCTT